TTGGAAATGAACTTTACAACTTGGGGAGGGGTGGAGAAGAAAAGTGGGAGGAAAACGAAAGAGGGGTAATGTCTGACAAGAAATATACTCATTTTCCCCAATCTATTTCAACAAACAATTCTATTAGCTTCCTGGGGACAGTTTAAAAGAGAAAATCTACTAGCTGTATAAGAAAGTCTATCATTTTGAAGATAGTTTTATGGTTTCTTTACCAGGCTGGTGCCAGTCCTGAGGCTTGAGAGCTATCCCTGAGCTTTTTTGCTCAAAGTTAGAACTCTTAACAGTTGAGCCACAGCTCCACTTCTGGCTTTCTGGTGGTTAACTGAAGGTATGAGTTTCACAGACATTCCTGCCCTGGCTGGTTTTTAAACTGGATGTTCAGATAGCAATCTCCTGTGTAGCTAGGATGACAGGTGTGAGTCACTGGTACTTGGCTTTAGTTAAAAAAATAAAAACTGGTATGCTGATCTTATTTAACTTATAAAAAGAAAATCATAACCAAACAAGATACAAGTCCTTTGTTATAGTATCCCTTCCCAGTATACTTACAAAAATACAACTAGCAATTTTAACAGGGAAAAGATTATTTACATGGTGATTATAACCTCTAAAATGAATTCTAAAAACCACCAATTTAATTTACTTTTTATGCTGTCACCCAACTGTCTGTTCTGGATATCACTGCACAAAAACTAAACTAATATTTTGTTATGATTCTAGACTAAAGTATTATTCTATGTAGGTTGCAGAGGTAAAAAACAAGCAAAAACAATACAATTTCAGCCCTTATCAGTTACTGCATTCATGTCATAATATTACATTAAATTTCAATAGACTGGTAGTTAAACCTATCTGGTCAAGGCACTAATATATTGAAAATACATACTTTTGAAAGAAAATATCACCAAAATAAATACATTGAAAATCACTTCCAAAGGATTACATTTCTACAGTAAAAATTTGAGTAATGTTACATCTCAAAATTCATTTCAAAGTCTGAACCCTTTTGAAACCTCTCTGTATAAAAAACTAGAAAATTCAATAATCTATTTTGAACAAGATATGCAAACTTCAAATACCAAAATCCTATTATTCTAATCACAAGAATCCTGTGTTTGTAAATAATCTTACATTTACACAAATAAAATATAAAAATGTTACCATTTTCTTTCAGAATGCTTAAATGGAAAGATTACATTAAAACCACCAAAAAAAGCAAATAACTAAATTTAATTTTGCTGAACCAAATTAAAAACTGTATAATACATGTTATGTATACTTAGTAAAATGCCTACTTTATTCTTTGTAATATAAACCAAGTTAGAAAAAGGTATAGAAGTGGAGTATTAAGACTATGTGAAACTACACTGTCCAAAAAGAAATGTACTCATTACTTAACTTATGTAACTGTAACTACTCTGTACATCACCTTTATAACAACATTTTTTTTTAAAGACTATATGAAATGGAATACCAGTGGTTCATCCCTATAATCCTAGCTACTTAAGAGACTAAGGCAGGGAAGTTCATGGTTAGAAGCCAACCCAGAAAAATGCTGGGCTGGAGGCTTAGCTCAGTAGAGTACGCCCAGGTATGAGTAAAAAGCTAAAACAGAACATGGCACTGATTTGAAGCCCCGTAAGTACTCCCCACTCCATCCCCACAAGACTATCTGAATTTTAAAAACTTTGATAAACTGGTAAATTTTACATTTCTACATATTTTTAACACCAATGTCTTATAATTATGATTTTAGTACCTTTCGTTACATATTTATCTTTCTATTGTTCTTTAAGTTAGCTTTAATGCTTGGACATCTACTAATTACTTTTCTATGGGGAAAAAAAAAGGAAATTCTTTTGGAATGTTAATTTCCTTACCTCACAAGAATTTATTTTTTCCTTTTGTGTGGGTGTTAGAGCTTCAATCTAGTGCCCGGGCACTGTCCATTAGCATTTTTGCTTAAGGCTAGCACTCTACTATCTGAGCCTACAGCTCCACTTCCCACTTTTTGGTAGTTAATTGGATGTAAGAATCTCATGACTTTCCTTCCAGGGCTGGCTTCAAACTACCATCGTCAGATCTCAGCCTCCAGAGTAGCAAGGACTACTAGCTAGGTATAAGCCATTGGTCCTGAGTTAAGAATTTAACATTTTAAAAAATGTTAAATAAAACTATATAACATGTGAACACTGTTATATATTACAGACTGTGATAGACAATTTGCTCCAGGAAAGTTAGAATGAACTTGTGACTTTGAAATTATGTAATCACTTAATCACAATCAAAAAAAAAAAAAAGAACCTCGGGGAAGGGAGGGAGGGAGGGGATGGTAGGGGGAAAACAATGGAGGGGTAACAATGTTCAAGAGGAAGTGTACTCAATACCTCACTCATGTAACTGTAACCCTCTGTATAGTATCTTTACAATTAAAAAAAAAATAAAAATTAAAAAAATTAAAAAAAAAATTAACTAGAGGGCTGGGAAGACGGCTCAGTGGTAGAGTGCTTGCCTTGCATGCATGAGGCCCTGGGTTCAATTCTTCAATATCAAGTATGTAGAAAAACCCAGAAGTGGTGCTGAAGACCTGAGGGACAGTACCCAGGCCCCACAACTCACGCCCCACAACTGACAAAAAAATTTTTTTTTAATAAAATAAACTTAACTAAAAATGATTAACTTGAAAATGATTATTGAGTATGAATAAGTATCAGGAAATAAAATTAAATCTATTATAAAATTTGGAAATTGTTTTAGATTTAAAGTCTAACATAAATATGCTTCCTCATATCTCTCAAAGGAAATTTTCTGTATCTTCAATATGTACTTCTAAGCTTCATAAAGACAGAGGGAAGGGAAACATAGTATATCTAATAGTTGCTTCATCTTTCCCAAGTTTAATCTTTCTACATAGTTTTTAAACTGTTAATTTATATAATAAACCCTGGGAAATACAAGTACAAATACTAACAAATATTACTCTAAAATTAAGAATATATAAAAACAAGAATGAAGGTATGTATATAGGAAAATATATACACTTAACACACAAAACAAGTGTTAGTATAGTTCTACTACATCACATGTAGTTAAGATGAACAAATATACACAAATATACACTTATGTTAAGCAAAATTATACTAATTCAAATATAAGCAGCACCAAAGCATACAATAAATAGAAATCATATTATTTCACTAAAGGAAATGTAATACAGACCTTGTTGATAGTACTGCATTTACTTTTCAGCCTCATAATTTAAGGGCAATATAAAGACATAGAAAAATAGTTAAAGTTAAAAAATAAGTGGAAGGTTTTAACATAATAAATGAAGAAAGAATACAAGATTTAGGATGGGCTATAGTTTAGGGGAAAGTTTAAGGGTCATGAAATATTATGTTAAATATCTAAAGGTTAATTTTTTAATTGTATTAAATTAGATAAACTTTTTCCTAGAATAAACCAAAGATTAAAGAATATTTTTGGATTTTTGTTGTTGTTTTGTTGGTCATGGAGCTTGAACTTTGGGCTTGGGAGCTGTCCCTCAGCACTTCAGCTCAAGGCTAATGCTCTACCACTTGAGCAACAGCACCACTTCTGGCTTTTTCTGTTTATGTGATGCTGAGGAACTAAACCCAGGGCCTCACGCATATGAGGCAACACTATACCACTGAGCCACCTTCCCAGCCCTAAAGAATTATTTTATAAGATAGAATTTCTTATGTATTCTTTATTCACTGCAAAGAGAAATATTTAACTAGGATAAACAAAAGCTTTGTTTGAAGGCAGGTATGAATTACAAGACCAAAACAAAGTACATATTATTTCTAAATTTTTTTTTTTTTCCCCAGGGCTGAGGGCCGAACCCAGGGCCTTGTGCAGGGCCTTGTGCGCGCTGGGCGGGCGCCCCTCCACTGGGCTAAACCCCCAGCCCCATTATTTCTAAAATTTTAAGGGAAAGACATAATACAATCTAGAAAACTATTCAGCACTGGGGATGGAGCCCAGTAGTAAGAGTGTTTGCCTAGCATGTGTGAGGGCTAGGTTTAATCAATCCCCAGCACACAAGAAAACAAGGAAAACTATTCAGTGAAAGGAATATAGTTAAATCTAAAGAAAAAAATTAGAACTAAGAGAAATATAGTACTATATAGAACAAACATTCTTATTATCAATACTAATCAACTGTCCAAAGAATTTTATCCATATTATTTTATATTAGAATTATACATTAAATTGAATAAAGAAATGAAAATTATCAGAATCATCTGAAATGTTTTTTTTCTAAATATACAGTTATTTGCTTTTGTATTCTTCCAACTAGCAAGTGTATAGGAGGATTGAGATGGCTTGAGAAGGGTAATGAACAAGTCTATACTATGTGATAAATAAATACACTTATGTGTATTTTAAAGAAAACTTCCATGGTTACTAATAATTCTACTAATATTTGCTGAAGAATTTTATTTGAACATGCTAATTATGTCTTAGAAGTAATTTTGTCACACTGATAAACTAGATAAAATGTAATTTACTTGTATAATAGGAGAATAAGTAACTCTCCTATGACAAGCTGGTATTTCTTAAGTATTTGAAGGTAGTGAGGGAAAATATTAAAAGTTTTATAAAAGCTATTTAAAACCTATTCCATTACATTTACAAAAGATGTAAAATTAGTTTAAAATTCAATTTTAGACAAGATCTTAGTCCCTAACATTCTGTTACTCATAATGATCAGAGGTATTGCCACAAAAGATTATAAAAACATTTAAAATACAATTTTTATATATTTTTTATTTATACTTTAGAATTTAAAGAACTTGTTGGGAACATCTTTGTGAGGCTTCATTGTCTTCTTTTACTTCAAACTATTTTAACTTCAAAGCAGGCTCACTAAATTTTTTTTTCAAGAACAAGCAACAGATGTTAACTGAGAATAGCCACCTTAATGGTTATTTGTGACACAGACTTGATTATGTGAGCCTAGAGCGCCTCCCCACCTCTGACTCCCCTGTGGAGGGGTGAGTCTTTGTGTGCTTTTCTGTGTTGGTTCCACTGAGTTCATTACAATAGAGATGGACATTTGATATTCATAACGATCCAGCATCTGAGCAATCTTCTTTCGAGAAACACCATGTTTATTCCTCCTACCAAAACAGAAAAAGATTTTGAATCTTTTTTTTTCAGAATATATTAGGCTTAGAGCTTAAATGTATTTTAGAGTAACATTACACAGATTATAAATATTTGACAAAAAAACATTAGAAGGTATAATTTGTTTATTCACATTTTAAACAAAAAGATTCACATTAGCTGTTGCACAGAAAATGTTTTTTACATCTTTACGTGCAATTATTTACTAGTATATCCTCTTTTAAATAACAAAACCAAAGATTAAAAAAAAATTAAAAGACTGAATTACACAATTTAGAATTGCAGAAGAATTTAGAATGGACTTCAAAGACTTACAATGCAAAACAGTATATCATTTATTAAGTTATTTTAGAATGGTTCCTATCACATTTTTAAAATGTATTATTTTATTGGTAACACATTACTAAAGATAACAATTTGGCATATCTCAGGAACAAATATTGAATGAAATAAACATGTAACAGGCTCTAATCAGTACAGCATTTGCCCACAATATTTGAAGATCTGAGTTTAGTACCCAGTACTACAAAAAATTAAAAATAAATTTCGAAAAATTGGCAAGATATGACTAATTTCAGAAGCCAAAATTTAGTTTTTCTTAATTCTTCCAAAAATCAGACTCTGCCAGATATTAAATTGGCTTTGCTATGTGAAGATAGTTTGTATTTAAAAAATATAAAAATACAACAAATAATGAAGCCATAATGATTTAATGATTTGATCATCCATTTATTCAGTGTAACTCAATTATCTTTTCATTTTAAATTTGTATCTCTTCTACCTCAAGGGTGATATAGTTTGGCAGGCAAGCAAGCAATAGCAGAAAAATATATAAGAACAAAAGTTAAAAAGTAGCCAAAAGAATAAGAGCTAAGGCAAAAAGGATTAGCTAGATCCCATATACAGAAAACACTTCAAAGGCTAGGGATGTAGCAGCTGAGTGGTAGAGCTTAATGACAAAAGAGGACAAACTGAGGTGAAAGGAAAAAAAATTGGTTTACAACATGAAAAAGGAAGGCTGGGCCTGCTGCTCACCTGTAGTCCCAGCTACTTGGAGGAAGAGACAGGAGGATCACAGTTGGAAGCTAACTCAGGCAAAGTTAGTTGGAGACCTTATCTAGAAAACTAAACTAAAGCACAAAGGGGTGAGGGGTAGTGACCTCAAATGGCAGAATATTGACTAGTAAGCAAGATGCCTTGAGTCTAATCCATTCTCAGTGGTGCCCAAGAAGGTTGGGGAGATTTGAAAATGATGGCTGCACAACTCTGGAACTAAACTGAAAATTACTGAATTGTATGGTTAAGTGAATTAAACCTCAATAAAATTACTACCAAAAAGGAGGGAGTAAAAGTGCAGAAGGAAAACAGAAATAGGGGAGAAAAAAAAACATAAATGGAAGAGCTGGATGGAAGAACTAGTCTTTCACAAATATTGAAATCTATTAAGATCTAAAAATTCAGTTTTCTTTACATCAGATAACAGGAAACCCAGTCAGATCCTTACTTGCTTGGCAGCCATAACCTGTTCAGAAATAAAATTAGATTTCATAGGATCTTTTTTCTCTTCTTTTTTTTTTGACATTTTTTTTTTTGGTTGGTCGTGCGACTTGAACTCTGGGCCTGGGTGCTATCTCTGAGCTCCTCAGCTCAAGGCCAGTGCTCTACCACTTGAGCCACAGTGCCACTTCTGATTTTCTTGTGATTAATTGGAGATAGAGTCTCTCAGACTTTCCTGCCCAGGCTCGCTTTGAACCATGATCCTCAGGTCTCAGCTTTCTAGTAGCTAGGATTATAGACATGAGCCATGGGCACACAGCTGGATCTTTCTTCTTTACTTAGACTGAACAGTCATGATCCGCTGAAGAAATATTACAACGTTTGACTGTAATGTACTACTTCCTCCTCTGAAAGGGCAATGTTACAAGGTAAATATACTATATTACTTTCCTAAACCACCCCCCCCCCCATTAAAAAAAAATCCAAATCATGCTGATTGTAAGGATCTTAGTGTAGAATTAAGGACCTGAAGTAATAAATCTGAGACAAGGAAAAAAAAAAAAAAGACAATGAAAGAACAAGATAAAACTGATGACGGAGACCAAAATGGGGAGATGAAGGAAAAAGGGCAAAGCAGAGAAGAGGCCTAGCTAAAAATCTTGGGGGTTTATTACCCTCAATGTTTCCTAGACCCACAATAGCATTAAATAAACAAGACGGAGGAATTCACGTTAAGAAAAGTAACATTTAACAAAGCATGTCTGATAAATTTTAACAAGGTAAGACTCCTCAAAAACCTTTAAGTCAATGTTCCTCTTGAGAAAATAAAAAGCAGTAGTTCCTAGTAACAGGTAATGTCAACAAGCAAAGGCTAGGAAAGAAACTGGCCACATAAAGGAAGGTAACTAAAAGAAAAAAAATTATGAAGATTCAAAAAAGAATTTTGAGTGCCTTACTTTTCTAATTCTTCAGGATCAAATTTCCACCAAGTTTCAGGTTCATGAAACTCTACTCTGTATCCTTTTCCTATGGCCTACATAAAGAAAAGGAAAAAAAAAAACAAAACCCATAGAACAGTTCTTAAAAGTAAAAAGAAGGCAGATAAATATAAGTTTAATTTAAACAACACTTCTAAGTTTGCTCAATCAAGAACAATGCTATATTGTAAAATACTGTGTTTTGGGAAAAAAATATTAAGACTACTGAACTGAACAAATTCCAATTACTATTCAAGCCAAAAAACAAGTATATGTATATTTCATCATAAGCACCTTTTCCAATGTAAAAAAAAAAAAAAAAAAAAGAAAATCAACAAACTTCTTAGAAAACAAGGACAAATGTTTTAAAAATAAAGATCAGTCAAATAGCTCACATCTATAGTCCTAGCTACTCAGAAAGGCTAAGATCTGAGGATCACAACTAGAAGCTAGCTGGGGCAGAAAAACTCGTATCTTCAGTTAACCAGCAAAAAGCCAGAAGTGGTGCTGTGGTTCAAGTGGTAAAACAGCCTTGAACAGAAAAAGCTAAGGGACGGTGTCCCAGCTCTGAGTTGAAACTAGTAAAAAAATAAAGAACAACCAAAAATTTACAATAAGAAACTCACAAGACCAAAAAATAAAAAATCCCACATCTCATATTTACCATTTCCACATATGGTTTCATTTCCCAAGCTTGTGTATTAGTGTTGTCTATTATAACTGGAGATCTTCCCTGATCAATAGCTTGTTTTGCTGAAATAGAAAATATATTACAAACAAAAACAACAAAAAATTAGGCTGAAATATACAAAATAAAATTTAAATATTTACTATTAAGAAATGTGTCACACATCTCATATTTAAAACTAAAACGGTACAATCTCTTGAGTAAATGTCCTGGTAAATATGGGCTCTACTAGATTAAGAGGGAATTAAGAGGTTTAACCATATTAGGTATATTCCCTGGACTGAGTGTTGGTTTGATAAATTGGCTATAAGACACCTTAAGAAAATTTGGTGACCTTAGAGCTAATGGCACTTCTAGACTAAAGTTTCATTTGTAGAAATTAAAGTGATAAAGGAACAAATTACAATTTAATCCAGACCAAATACAAAAGTAGAAATGTATTGATCTAAAAAGTCAGAGATTATTAAATGAAAGGGCAATAATTAAAATACAGAAACACAATAGTTAAATATGTTAGGTTAAAACACAGAGCTGAGGAGCTGGGAATGTGGCTTAGTGGTAGAGTGCTTGCCTAGCATGCATGAACCCCTGGGTTCAATCCCTCAGTACCATATCAACAGAAAAAAAGCTATGGCTTCAGTGGTATCATGCTAGCCTTGAGCAAAAAAAGTTCAGGGGCAGTGCCCAGGCCCTGAGTTCAAGCTCCCCCCCTCTCCCACCCCCCCCCACAAGCAGAGCTAAGAAAATGGTTTACTAAGAAAATGCAAATGGTGGTGCAAGTATTTAATTATCTACAAGTGATGTTTTTTAATTAACAAAGGCTTGTGGTTACAAACAAAACAAACAAACAAAAAAAACCTTATTACTTAGAAGAAGTTGTTTATTTATAATACCAGGTAACACAACACCACAGTTCAACTGATCTTGTTTTCTTAAAACTATGATGCTCACTTGGGGAGTTAAAGTAGAATGTAATTTTATTCTAAATTTTCTATGCCTAGTCCAATGCCACCTCTTCTCGCACGAGAAGAGAATCACTGTTACAATGAGGCACACTTTAAAAAAAAAAAAAAAGAACCCAGGTGGCAAGTGGTTCAAAGCCTGTCATCTTAGCTACTGAGGAAGCTGGGATCACCAATCCTGAGGATTGGTTTGAAGCCAGCCCAAGCAGAAAAGTCCCCTTGAGACTCATCTCCAGTAAACTACTCAAAAATGCAGAAGTGGCACTGTGGCTCAGGTAGAGTGCTAGCTTTGAGCACAAACTCAGGGACAGTGCCTAGGCCCTGAGTTCAAGCACTGCGGCCAACAGGGGGAAAAAAATGATTAAGTAAGGTTAATTTCAAATCCATTAAATGTAATTTTCAGAATTTTTCTTTTCTGAGACATGGGTCAGGGTGTCGAGGGGATATATATTGTCACCAGATGCTGATAGCTCACTCCTGTAATCCTAGCTACTCAGGAGGTTGAAATCTAAGGATCACAGTTCAAAGCTAGCCCAGACAAGAAAGCCAGTGAGAATGACATAGACTCATCTCCAATTAACCACACACACAAAAACAAAACAAAAACAAACAAAGCTGGAAGTGGAGCTGTGGCTCATGTTATAAAGTGGAGCTGTGGCTCATGTTATAAAGTGCTATCATAAGAGCAAAAAAAAGCTCAGGGCCAGTGCCCAGGGCCTGAATTCAAGTCCCAGATCCAGCACAAAACAATAGTAACTTAGTGTTATGTATTTACATACGTAGCTGAAAATCAATATAATTCTGACCACATTTTAGAATAATCTGGAGGAATTAAAAAATGTTTATGCCTCATTATAGACCTATAATCTATAAACTATAATCTCTGAGTCTAAGGCTCAGGGATATATTTTTTTTAGAAATAAGAGGATGAATAATATTGAAACACATTGCAACTATACATTTAAAAAAAAAAAAATCAGTGAAAGCTGTTGATCAACCAGGAGTGCAGAAGAATGAAGAAAGAGAAACAGGCCCTGTTGTTTCCAATAATGGAACAATGAAACCCGTTGGAGGGAGGGAGTGGAGGGAGACTGACTGAAATATATGTATACATGAGTAGAAATGGCACATGAACCATGAACTCCCCTACTGTGTAACTAATATATGCTTATTATTCCCATAATCCTGGCCACTCAAGATGCCAGGATCTGAGACTCACAGTTCAAAATAAGTATAAAAAGGAAAGTCTGTGAGACTCTTACCTTCAATTAACCCACAAAAAAGTTGGAGACCTGTTACTCAAGTAGTAGAATGCTGGACTTAAGCAAAAAAGCTCAAGCTCAGGACCCTCAAACAAACAAAACAAAAACTAAAGAATTCCCAAAATTACAAATTTTGGAGAGGTAAATATAATATTCTATAGAATCTTAATTTTAATTCAAAGTTACTGTGGTTTCATTTCTATGATAATGTTTTCTTTCTCTTTTTTCATTATCTATAATTAATTGAACAAAGAAGTTTCAATTCAACCTATCAATTTGTGTATAATGTACCTTGATCAACAATATCCCTTTCATTATCCTCACTGCCCTCCATCTATTTCAACATAATCTTGTTTCTCTTTTAGGAATATTCCTGTGTATGTTAGACTTAGTAAGGTTTACCTACAGAAATTAATACTTGAATGTCCAATTTGCAATTGCAGTTTATGCATAATGGATATTCATGTAAGTAAACTTAATATAAAAAAGTCCCCAAGTAACTGACCACCACAATCAAGACTGCTGTTCATGATGAAAAGAAACTGACCCACATATTCTAAAAACAAATGTATTACATAGGTTTTCTTACAGCACACCATCAATGATAAAAAACTTCCAATATTAACAAGTATTGTACTGAGATGTGAAATACACTGGCATTATTTTTAGGAGAAATAACTTTTATAACATGTAACAATAGTATCCGTTATTTATTCATGATATAAAACTCATTAACATATGGCATACTGCTATTCTTTTATCAGCTATTATTAGTAAAACATTCATAATTCAAAACATATTTTAGGTAAATTCTACAATTTTCACAACAAATTTGATCTGGTAGGGCAAATATAATTTATCATCATTTCTTGCAGACAAAGAATTTGGGACTCCAAGTTACTGAAATAGTTTGCAAACATCATTCAGCTGGTAAAAATTAAGTCAGGAATAAACCCTATGTCTTGTGACTGTTAGCCAAATATATTCTATCTCAAGAGATTTGGCCTAAAACACACCTCTGTTCTGGTTCCAGTCATGGGCATCACCAAGTTGATTAACATTATACCTGTACCCATCTTGATGGTGAAAATAGTCATCAGTGCTGAATACAATGCCATCACGGCTCTGACCAAGTAGAATTCTGTTAATAAAAGAAATCATAAGGTGCTATTTGTAAAATGTATAACCATGAGAAATAGACCATACAGAAAGTTATTGTCTGCTATTCATTCTTAAGATATATTGCAAACAGAATTACACAGGAGCTAAAAAATGTTAAAAAGCTTTCAGATTTCAACAATCATTTCTTATATAAATCTTCACAATTAGAGCCACTATAAAAAGCTTTTAAAACAACATTTGTATTGCAACATTTTAAAACACACAGTATCCACTATCTAAATAATGTCAAGTAGTGTCCATGTTTTTGGTTTTGGGTTTCCCCTCCTCCCCCAGTCCTGGGGTTTGAACTGAAGGCCTCAGTACTGTCCCTGAGCTTCTTTTTGCTCAAGGATAGCACTCTACCACTTGGCAACAGTACCACTTCTGGCCTTTTTTGTTTACGTGGTACTGAGGCACTGAACCCAAGGCTTCATGCATGTTGGGCATGCACTCTACCACTAAGCCACAATCCCAGCCAGTATCCTATGTTTTAATCTTAGTGTACTTATATTTGGTATTAAAATTGCTCAAATTTGATACAAAAGGAAATTAAGATTAAGCATCATAGCCCATCTAGGAAAGACCATATTTGACCATGTCTGCTCTTGCAGATGGCTTTAAAAAAAGATGTTAATACCATTATCTGTACCTATAGTAACGTATTTACATCCAAGAAATGGTTTAAATTCACCAACCTTTTTTTTTTTAATTAAGGAGCAAGAGCAGTAAACTTTATCACTAAATCAGGTCAACATTAAATCTGAGCAAATTTGTATATAGATCAAATTCTTAAGTATATAAATCACAAGAGTTAAAGTTTAGCTTGAAGAGATTTATTTTCCTACCTGCCAGCATAGACTGTTAATGCATCTTTTTCAAGTTCCTGAATTATCTCAAACAATAAAAAAGAAATAAAATACAGCATCATCTCTATAATCCTACCTACTTAGGAAGTTGAACTCTAATGATCACAGTTCAAAGCCTGGTAGAGTAGGCTTTATAAAGAGGCTCTATAATTAATTGGCAAAGTGTTGTAGTGAAGGGATGACACTGACCAAAAAAAGAAATGTACTCATTACTTGACTTATGAAATGGTAACCCCTCTATAAAATACCTTAATAGTAATAACAATAAAATTATATTTAAAAATTGCTGGCTGGAAATGTGGCTTAGTGGTAAAGTGCTTGCCTAGCATGGATGAAGCCCTGGGTTCAATGCCTCAGTAGCACATAAACAGAAAAAGCCACAAGTGGCACTGTGGTTCAAGAGGTGGAGTGCTATCCCTTGAGCAAAGCAGCTCAGGGATAGTGCCCAGGCCCTTAGTTCAAGCCCCAGGACCGACAAAAAACAAAAAACAGCACACAAAAAATGTTGCACGGGTGGCATTGCTCAAGTGGTAGAGGCACTGCTCGAGTAGCAAGCCATCCAAGTAAGAGTGGGAAGGAGGCCCTGAATTCAATCCTTAGTACCAATACAAGAAAACAACAACAAAAACCCACTTCTGTCTTAAACTCTGGTTTGTCTGCTTTCTCACTTAAAAAAAAAACCAGTTGCAGCCGGGTGAGGGTGGCTCACACCTATAATCCTAGCTATTCAGGAGGCTGAGATCTGAGGATTGTGGTTCAAAGCCAGCTGGGTAAGAAAGTCGGTAAGACTCTCATCTCCAATAACCACTAGAAAACCAATAGTGGCACTGTGGTTCAAGTGGTAGAGCGCCCGTCTTGAGCTGAAGAGATCAGGGACAGTGCCCAGGCCTAGAGTTCAAGACCTATGACTGACAGAAAACAAAAAAACAACCAGTTTCATTTGAATGAAGAGTGGTCTAAATAGCCAAGAAATGAGGGAAACTTCCAGCCTATACCAAGTAAGGAACTGAGGTCCTCAACCCAAGTTCACAAAGAACAGTCCTATCAACAACCTGTGAGTTCTTGGAATCATACCATCCTTAAGTTAAGCCATCTTCAAATTAGACAACACGTGATTATAGCTTTAAACTGTTAGAACCCTGAATCAAAGGCATTCAGCAGACTAAACCCAAATTTCTGATCTACAGAAACTGCATAATAAATGTTGCAATCATGAATTACTATAATACTCTGTCCTTATAATTTCTCACTCAAGGAACTCTGCTCTTCAAAAGAGGGGGCTGGGAAGGTGGCTCAGTGATAAGAGTGCTTGCTTTTCATGCATGAGGCCCTTGGTTTGATTCCTCAGCACCACATAAGCAGAAAAAGCCGGAAGTGGGTCTGAGGCTCAAGTGGTAGAGTCCTAGTCTACAGGTGAAGAGCTAAAGCCCAGAGTTCAAGCTCCACGACCAACCAAAAAAAAAAAAAAAAAAAAAAGAGAGACCCACAAAAAGTTTACCTTTTTTTTTTTTTAACATCAATCCTGGGGCTTGTACTCAGGGACTGGGCACTATCACTGGGCTTTTTTGCTCAAGGCTAGCACTCTACACTTGAGTCATGGCTCCACTTCCAAATTTTGGTGGTTAATTAGAGTTAAGTTTCTCATAGACTTTCCTGCCTAGGCTGGCTTTGAATGGAGATCCCTGAATCTCAGCTTTCTGAGTAGCAAGGATTACAGGTGTGAGCCATTGGTACCTGACTTATAATTTATTTTTAAAATTTCTTTTGTTGTTGTTGTTGTTTTCTGCCAGTCCTGAGGCTTGAACTCAGAACCTGGGCACTGTCTCCGAGCTTCTTTTGATCAAGGCTAGCACTCTACCATTTGAACCACAGCACCACTTCCAACTTTTTCTGTTTATGTGGTAACTGAGGAATCGAACCCAGTGCTTCTTGCATGCTAGGCAAGCACTCTAACATTAAGCCACATTCCCAGCCCTATTTTTAAAATTTCTAAGAGCTGCACAGTGAGTTTTTAACACATCCATGTGCATCTAAAGTGATTTCTAAAGACAAAAATATCTAAGTAAAAGACACTTTATGAAATCTTTACCTCATTTACTACTACATAGTTTTGCTTTCTTCCTATTTCAAGACCAAGCCTAAGTCTGTCTAAGACTTTGCCCAGGCATTTGACCCTCCTTGAAATAGGACTGGATCTAGCTAGGGTAAATATTTCTTAACATGTTAAATTAGATGTCTTGTTTCCAATTGAGAGAGCGAGTGAGAGAGAGAATCTATCTCTTTAACTGTAAGTCATAGTTCCTATGACTGCTGTGATAATTGCCAAAACTTGGTGGCATAAAACAATAAGGAATTTATATTATGGCTTTAAAGGTCAGTAGTACAAAACCCACTAAACTAAAAAGGTATAGGTAGCCCAGTGTTCCTTCTTGAAGCTCTAGAAAATTTTTTCTTGTGTTTCCTAGTTTCTAACTGTGAGTGGCAAAACTTAGCTTGTAGCCACCTTCCCAGCCCCCATACAACAGAGTTTTAAGGATTAGGTCATAGACATCTTTGGCGAATAGTATTTACTCTAACACAAAAATAACTGCAGGGGCTGGGAAGCCCCCATACAACAGAGTTTTAAGGATTAGGTCATAGACATCTTTGGGGAATATTATTTACTCTAACACAAAAATAACTGCAGGGGCTGGGAAAGGTGGCTCAGTGGTAGAGCGCTTGCCTTGCATGCCTGAGGCCCTGGGTTCGATTTCTCAGCACCACATAAGCAAAAAAAAAAAAAGCCGGAAGTGGCGCTGTGGCTCAAGTGGTAGAGTGCTAGCCTTGAGCTGAAGAGCTGAGGGACAGCGCCCAGGCCCAGAGTTCAGACCCCACAACCGGACCCAAAACAAACAAACAAACAAAAAACTGCAAAAGCCAAAAACAAAGAAATAATAAAGAAATGTTTTCTCAAGTTTTGTCACTTTATTTCTTAAATAATGTCTCTTCTCACTGTTTTATCCAAATTCTCAACATTTTTTAAGTTCGTATTTTCTTCTACACAAAGTGGCTCATTTGGGAGGTGAAGATTAAGGAATCATTGTTGAAGGCCAGTCTGGGCATAAAAGTGAGATTCTCTCACTCAATAGTTGAGCATAGTAGCACGTGCCCTATTTCCCCAGCTACTGAGGAAGCATGATGGCTGTGAGCAGTGGTGGATGCCTGTCATTTCCAGAGACATGGGGAACCATAAGTAGGATTGCAGCTCAAGCCAGCTCAGGCATAAATCAAGAAAGACTCTAGCATGAAATAATTCATGCAGGGCTGGGAAGGTGGCTCAGTGGTAGAGCGCTTGCCTTGCATGCCTGAGGCCCTGGGTTTGATTCCTCAGCACCACATAAGCAAAAAGAAAAAAGCTGGAAGTGGCGCTGTGGCTCAAGTGGTAGAGCGCTAGCCTTGTGCTGAAGAGCTGAGGGACAGCGCCCAGGCCGAGTTCAGGCCCCACGACTGGATCCCCCCTCCCCCCAAAAAAGAAATAATTCATGCAAAAAGGGGTTGAAAGTACAACTCAAGTGATAGTGTCATCTTAGCGAGCACAAAGCCAAATTTAATCTCCAGTGTAAAAAAAAAAAAAGTTCCTATTTTCTTCTAGGATTTTTTTAGAGGTGGAACAGGGGTTTGAACTAAAGCCTTGTACTTTCTAGGCAGACACTTTACCATCTGAATCACATCCCTCAGCCCTTTTTGCTTAGTTAATTTTCAAATAGGGTCTCACATTTATTTATGTCTGGACAGCTGTCCTCCTATTTGTCTGCTCAAATAGCTGGGATGACACATTTGTAGCACTATACTAGACTTTTATTGATGGAGATGAGGATTTAGTAAGACATTTTGCCTATGCTAGCCTCTAACTTCAAACCTCCAAATCTCTGCCTTCTCAGATCTCAATTGTAAGCCACCACATCTAAGTTAGCTTTTTCTCTTTAACTTTCAGCCTTTATCCATTTAGAAGTTTGTTTTTTGTAAATACCGCAATACAAGGTTTTAAATATATTTTCTTCTATATTGATAACCAAATATCCTAATAATATTTACTGAATATTTTACTCTAAAATATCATCTAAAATGCCAATTCAATAAATGCTAAATTATCTTAAATATAAGGTATATTTCTAGATTCTGTAATCTTAATTATCTGTTCTTTTGCTAAACTTTTTTTTTTTGTCGTTGTGAGGCCCGAGCTCTGGGTCTGGGCGCTGTCCCTCAGCTCTTCAGCTCAAGGCTAGCGCTCTATCACTTGAGCCACAGTGCCACTTCAGGCTTTTGCTGCTTATGTGGTACTGAGGAATATAACACAGGGTCTCATGCATGCAAAGCAAGCACTCTACCACTGAGCCACCTTCCCAGAACCTAATTACATTTTTATTAATTACTGTTTCAAGATGTTTTTGGTAGAAGGTAGAAGCTTTATCACTTTTTTCAAATTGCCCCTATTGCATTTTCATGAATTCTAGAATGGCTTGTCAAAATTTATACAAAAAGAAGTTTCACACACAAGAAAGGGGAGATGTACCATCTTTGTTTTAATATATTCTATTACCAATATAGTTGGTTTTCCATATTCACAGGTTCAAAGTCAGCCCAGGCAGGAAAGTCCGTGAGACACTTATCTCCAATTAACCATCAGAAAACCAGAAGTGGTGCTGTGGCTCAAGTGGAAGAGCACTTGCCCCACAAGTGACAAAAACAAACAAACAAAAACCTAAACATCAGCATCTTTTAATGTAGTGCCTCAAGTCAGCTAAATCTACCAATTCTTTTTTTTTTTTTTCCAGCAGGTTGTGGGGCTTGAACTCTGGGCCTAGACGCTGTCCCTCAGCTCTTCAGCTCAAGGCTAGCACTCTACCACTTGAGTCACAGCACCACTTCCAATTTTTCTGTTAGTTTATTGGTGATAAGAGACTCATAGGACTTTCCTGTCCGGGCTGGCTTTGAATGGTGATCCTCAGATCTCAACCTCTTGAATAGCTAGGATCACAGGCATGAGCCACTGGTGCCTGGCTCTACCAATTCTTTAATATTTTCTTTCTTCAAAGCTTGTATTGCAAGATATTCCCATATGTCATTCTTCACTAGAGAATATATGGCTTTATATCCGATACCAAATAAGCAACATCATTTCTTCCAAAAAGTGGTGATCTACAGAGGTATACCTGGGGCTGGAAATGTAGCTCGTTGGTAGAATGCTTGCCTAACATGCACAAGGCTTTGAGTTTGATCCTTAGCACTTGAGGGGAGAGGCAAACACTCTAAGTCAGGAGTGAGATATAGGGCTATATATATCCAGTAGGTACTAAAACTGAGGGTGTAGAGCCTGGGCAACAATGGCTCATGCTTATAATCTAGTACTCAAAAGAGTTAATATGAGGACTGCAGTTCAAAACCAGCCAGGCAGACAAATCTGTGATTCTTAACTCCAACCTGTCAGCAAAAAGCTGGAACTAAAGGCATGGCTCAAGTGATAAGGGCAAAGCAAGAATGTAAGACCCTGAGTTCAAGATCTAGTACAAGCACCAAAAATAAATAAATAAAAAGTGAAGATGAAGAGGAAAAACAAAAACATTAATTTTTTTTTTTTGGGGGGGGGTCCAGTCGTGGGGCCTGAACTCTGGGCCTGGGCGCTGTCCCTCAGCTCTTCAGCTCAAAGATAGCACTCTACCACTTCAGCCACAGCGCCACTTCTGGCTTTTTTTCTTTTTGCTTATGTGGTGCTGGGGAATCAAACCCAGGGCCTCATGCATGCAAGGCAAGCAATCTACCACTGAGCCACCTTCCCAGCTGCAACATTAATATTTTGATCTCATTTTTTAATGTAGTTTTTCCTAAGTTAATCTACACTTTCTTCTCCTACTTGTTCCTATAAAATAAAAATACTAGGGCTAGGACTGTGGCTTAGTGGTAGAGTGCTTGCCTAGCATGCATGAAGCCCTGGGGTCAGTTCCTCAGTACCACATAAACAGAAAAAGCGAGAAGTAGCACCGTGGCTCAAGTGGTAGACTGCCAGCCTTGAGCAAAAGAAGCTCAGGGAGAGTGCCCAGGCCCTTAGTTTAAGCCCAAAGACTGGCAAAAAAAAAAAAAAAGTAATAAAAAAAATGAAATAAAATAAAAAATAACTCATCACCCAAAATTTATCAAAGTACTCAGTAAATTTGAAAATTATAACACAAATGTACTTGTTGATATAAAATGTTTCATTCTCTCCAGTAACTTGAGGATTACACATATGTATCACATGAACTACTAAGTCTGGCTTAAGTTTCAATTCTTAAATATTCTATCTATTCCTCAAATTAAAAAACTTATTAGCCAGGTGCCAGTGGTTCACACCTGTAATCCTAGCTCCTCATGAGGCTGAGATCTGAGGATCATGGTTGAAAGCCAGCCCTGGCAGGCAGGAAAGTGCGTGAGACTCTGAGACTCTTATCTCCAATAAACCACTTACAAAACGGGAAGCTCTGGCTCAAGTGGTGGTTGAGCAATAGCCTTGAGCTTGTGCTGAAGAGTGGAGGGACAGCGCCCAGGCCCAGAGTTCAAGCCCCATGACCAACAACAACAACAAAAACTTATTAAGTATAATCATGTCTATCATCTCCTATATTTAATACTCCTTGAAACTTTAATGAATTACTATTTTATTCACCTGTATTTTCAACACATTCCAATATTTTCCAAACATTTCTTTCTTGTATTATTTCTATATCCATTCCCAGTTAAGTGGTCCTAACATACTCCATCCAATTTCCAAATTTTACCTATTCATTATGCCCTAAATCTGTATTTTTTTAAACAACTGCATTCTTTCTAAAGAGCTCAAATACATCTCTTGTACAAAGTCTTCACAAAAATGAACAGAATTATAAAATGGCAACCCCTCTGTACAACACCTTAATAAAATTGTATTTTTTAAAAAGTGAGGAATCAAAATTCCAAAACCAAAATTTAAAAGATCATAGTTTATAATCTAGCTTGAAGTATCTTTATATTCAATCTTTCTTTAAATTTCCTTTTTCTAAAAAGCCATTTACTTAGACTTAGATCATCTTATAAGTAAATAAAAAACATTTGCAAAGTAGTTTTTTGAACTTTTTTTTATCTTAACCCAACAATATCAAATAGTTTTTCCTTGTCTGGTATAAATACTATAAAACTGAAGAATTTATGGTGCTTTCTCTCACAAGTGAACAACTTTTCCACAACTATATAAATACTCAAGTACATTATGTTTAAAATGTAAATAAAAACAAGAAACTCCACTAACTCACTTAAACTCCTTAAATTTTAAAAACTAAGACAGTTCACTCTGCTACTAAATAGTATGAACACAGCACAATGCTTAACACACTCGAAATTCCTTCTGTTATGTCATTCTCAAACTCCAAGAAAATAAATATTGCTCGTTCATTAACACCAAAGCCTGAGCAACATCACCAAGTGGGGTAGGAGGAGACAAAGCATAAATCTAGCACAGTCCAACTTTCCTTGAATAATTAGCTGGCTTTAAAACACTAGCCTAAGTTCTCAAGTAGCATTTGCTTTCATCACTGTCACAAGTATACATGGCACATCTAATTTTAAAGCCCTTAACAGAAACCAAATATAAAAATATAGGACAATTCTTTTTCCCTACTAGAATACATTTAAGGAATATTTCCAATGTTAGATGTCATTTTCAAGTTCAACAAATGATCGTTTCTTCTACTAGAAACATGAAAACATCTGTTATTTATTACAAGTACTTAATTATTGTTTTTTGTTGTTGTTGGTCATGGGCCTGAACTCTGGGCCTGGGCGCTATCCCTCAGCTCTTCAGCTCAATGCTAGTGCTGTACTATTTGAGCCACAGTGCCACTTCAGCTTTTTTCTGCTTATGTGGTGCTGAGGAATCGAACCCAGAACCTCATGCATGCAAGGCAGGCACTCTACCACTGAGCCACCTTCACAGCCCTAATTTATAATTATTTAAGTAACAAATTACCAAGTATTCCCTTGGCATCCTTTACTTACCGAGACAATGTTGTTTTCCCAGAACCAGGCAGACCTCTCAAAAGAATAAGTAACTTCTGCAATTTATTTAACTTTTCCTCTTGAAACTGCTGGTTCACAAATCTATGTGTTTCACTATACTTGTCAATAGAGTCCTTCCAAAATCCTTGTCTGATTTCATAGAAATCATGTCTCATATATCCATCTTGCACACTGTAGCCATTTCTAGAGGGATGAACATTACTACCATTTTCAGTAACAGTATATTCATTGCTCTGATCAAATGTCAAACAATCCCAGTTATCATGACAACTATCTTCATAATACCCACTTCGCATCAGGGAGTTATCCTGAGCAGGGAAAATATTTGGTGGTAGATTTGGTGAAGTACTGAATCTTGGAATATTTAAATGGTAATTAAAACTAGGAAGAGGAGGACCATGTGGTACTATAAAAGGATGCATTGACTGCCACTCAGGCCTGAAGGAAGTAAATGAAATATCACAAAATGTAGGTATTTCTTGTTCATCATAAGAATAGTGGCCTAGCTCATTCTCTAAGTACTGTTGATAATCACATTGTGCCTGAAAAGTAGTACAGAGCTCTTTAATGTCATCAGATTTTAAGATATCAGTACTATAGCGCTGGTAACATGGAATAACTTGTTCCTGAGAAGATTCAAGTTCCTTACAAATACTTTCTTCTGAATCATCTTTTTCATTTTCAAGCTCTTCAATTTCTTTGTAAAACTGGGATAATTCAGTGTCAATCTCTGGCTTTTTGGCGTTGAACTTCTGTTTTTCCTCTCTTGTTCCTTTGCCATTTATACCACTGAGAGTGTTAGTCTGATTTCTTTCCTTGAACTTCTTTTTCTCTGGGGGTTTGTAAATGGGTCCTATGAATGCTTTACTTGTGCTATATATCTCATCATCTGTGGATACTAATGGAGGGTTTCCACTTTGTAAAACTTGTGAACCAGTGGATTCAATAACATCTAGTTTATTACCAGGTGTCTCATCATGCACAGGTTTCAGCAAATCTGTAGTTTGGGTTTTGTCTTCCTCAGGATAACTATGTCTTCTGACATCAATTACGGCCACAGGGACCCAATTATTTCCAGTTTTCTGTTGAATTTTGTGAAAATCAGCACTATCATGATGAGGGAAAACACAAGCCTCTGTAGTTGACTTCAATTTTTTATAGGATGGTTCACTTGTTAGTTCTTCTCCAGGTCCAGAGAACTTAGTTTCAATTTTAGCATAAGGCATCTGAAAAGTAAAAAAAGCAAACAATTATTAGCTCATCAACAAGAAATAAACATTTAAATTTGTGATAACAAAATTGAAAAACATTTTACCAACTACAAACTTTAATTTTATTTTTGTTTGTTTGTATGTTTTTGTCTGTCGTGGAACTTAAACTCTGAGCCTGGGCACTGTTCCTCAACTCTGCAGCTCAAGGCTAGCGCTAGTACTCTACCACTTGAGCCATAGCACCACTTCCGGTCTTTTCTGCTTATGTGGTGCTGAAGAATCACCTTCCCAGCCCACAAACTTTAATTTTATAATCACAAACTCTTTAAAGTTTGTTATCACCTAATTATAGGAGGGGGGGGTCTCTTCTAAATTAATATTTTTAAAGATATTTAAACAATCCATTTCAAAATTTAGAGAACTTAAGAATTTGTTTGCAAAGTTGAATAACTAGATGTGTATCGTAAATAAATTTTGTATCCAAACTGGATGTTAAACTGCATCATAATCACCTTCCTATTTAAACCATTCTGTCCTTTCAAGTATATAGCTTCAGCTCCCAAACCTCAACAAACACATCGCTTTAGCATCCTAAGGTTAAAATGACAGAAATTATGATTTTTGTAGGCCCGTGGTCTGAGAGTTATGAGTGTAAAAGTAATTCTCAAGTGATGTATGTAACTGGAAAGAAAAAAGAAGGGAAGCCGGTAGCTACTCAGGAGGCTGAGATCTGAGGATCCTAGTTCGAAGGCAGCTTGGGCAGGAAAGTCTGAGACTTTTACCGCCAATTATTAACAACAACAACAACAACAAAAACAAAAAAACAGAATTGGAGCTCCTGGACAAGTAGTAAAGCACTAGATCAAGGGCAGCGCCCAGACCAAGTTCAAGGCCCAGGACCAGTACAAAAAAAGGGAGGGAGGGAAATGACAAAGGGGAGGGGGAGGGGAGAAGGAGGAAGACGAAGAGGGGAAGGGAAGAAAGCTATTGGGGCGGGGCGGGGTGGGGGGGGGCAGGGAGGGTTAAACAAGACGAACACGTTACGCTTACAGAAGTCTGGCATGATTGGTGTGTCCGGAACATAAACTTTGTTCTCTTTAATATTAGGAACCCTGCCGGGCGCCGGAGGCTCACGCCTGTAATCCTAGCTACTCATGATCACGGTTCAAAGCCAGCCCGGACAAGAACGTCCAAGAGACACTAATCTCTACTTAACCACCAGAAAACCGGAAGTGGGAGGGGTCTCTCCTTGAGCTGAAGGCGAGCCGAGGGACAGCGCCCAGGCCCAGAGTTCAAGCCCCACGAGTGACCAAAACATAAAACAAAATTAGGGACCCTGAAGAGAGCAGACCCCAGGTTTGTTCAGCTTATTACTTCTTCACCAGCTGAGAGTCTCCCGTGTTCCTCTCTCTCACAACGAAAGAGGAAAAGGGGGAGGGGAGGAGTCCGAGTAGGGAAGGCGGCTGGCCGCAGCCACACCGGGGGAGAACGCCATCCTCCCGGAAGGAGCCTCCCCGGCCTCCTCTCCGCTTCCTTTTCCCCATTCGAAAGGTCAGCACACCACCCGGAAGTGCGGGCGGGCGGCGTTCACACACGGCCAGCGGCCTGGACGCTACCCAAGCCTCCCGAGCTCCACAGCCGCGTCGCCCATCTCGCTGTCTCCGAGGGGACACGCTGAGGCCAGGCCTCAGAATGCTGACGCTGGCCGTGGCCGGCTTCTCAGTTCACAGGCTCCGAGTCGCCCAGAAACCAACAGCCAACCCACCTCACATAAAATGGGGCGTCTACTCACCTTACGCCACAGCTCTGCATGGGCCTTGACCTCGCCTATAAAAACACAAACCTCTTTCGATGAGAGAAAAAAATACCAACACGATAAGACTTTCGCCACAAAGCAGACAGAAGGACCGACTCAACCACCAGGAATCCGGACGTGAGGCAGTGAGCCGCACCTCCGTACGCAAGATGGCGGCCACCTCTCAGTTAGCCTGGCAGGAATTGCGAACTCGAGCGCCAGGCATTGTGGGAATTGAAGTCCGGCTGCCGCCAGGGCTCTAGAGAACTTCACTCAGCCAGACTTGCTTTCCCAGAATCCATTGCGTGACGCACGCACTCACTTAAGTACAAACTAGACCGGAAGGAGTTGTTGGATCAGGAGGTGGGAAGCTGTTTAGTGAAATACTTCATGTGGGAAAGCAGCCTACTCCCGGAAGGAGAGAGGGCCGGGCGTCTCAACATAGAGGCAGATGCTCTTCCCAGTTCATGGTTTTCTGGCTTTCTGGGTGACAGGATATCAGCTGACTTCTCAAGGGCGACTCAACATTTTGTATTGCAGAATTGGGTTGCTATCGTTTCTGGAGGAAACGAATAAGGATCATTATGGCTCGTGCTTTTCTGTTGAAGTGTAAATTGCTTGCGGTGCAGGGCCCTGCTCACAGATATATATGGATGGATGGATGGATGGATGGATGGATGGATGGATGGATGGATGGATGGATAGATAAATAGATAGCTATGTAGTATCTTAAATAAGTTTTGCTTTGTTTGGGGAGATACAAACCACTTACTAAACTTTCCCATTAATAGAGGCAATACATAAAAAGTAGAATTAAGGGATGTTTAAGTGTGTGTTTACTTTAAAGACTGAACAATTGGCAGTCCAGAGATATGGACTACTTTTCTATTCCTGTCACCTCCCACTCCCATGATAAGGGATTCCTCAACTCCTTTTGAGTTTCTACAAGGAAAACTTCGAATCCCTTCATATTTAAATAATTCTTTGAAATACCCATCATGATACGTTTTGATTCATAAATATAGTTAAACATAACAGCGTACAATATTTACCATCTGTGACCAAGAGAGTTCATTGAAGTAACCTATCCCCTGACTACTTCAACTAGAAATTCCCACACAGACCTTTTGATTCCCCATGGTAAGATCCAAATTTCACGTCTTTTGAAATAACCATGCTGGTGAGGGTGTGGTCTTGTCAGTATCCTACTTCAGAATTATGGAATGTATGTCCATTATAAGGTAATACCTTTATTATCCCATCAATGTGCTTAGTTTCTTCAAAACCCCTTATGACTAATAAGCAATCCGTGAGGTGAGACTTTGAATCCATGGAAATAACCAGCTCTTCATCAAGCTTTATCTTATGGCTCAGTTTCCAATAATGATTCTGCTTGCCATTAATCTTGTTCATGCTGGTTACAAAAATGTTGAGCCAGCCCGGGCAGGAAAGTCTGTAAGACACTTATCTCTAATAAACCACTAGAAAACTGGAAGTAGCCCTGTGGCTCCAGTGGTAGAACGCTAGCCTTGAGCTTAAGAGCTGAGGGACAGCACCCAAGCCCAGAGTTCAACCCCCATGACTGACCAAAAAAAAAAAAATTGTGGATTTTCCTCTCCATTTATTCAAGTTCTCCATGTACTCAATTCAGATACAACTGTGAAAAATGAGCCTTCCTTATTATTTATTTGCCATCAGTGTGAAGTTACGAATTGCACTTTTAAATGGCTATAATTCATTGAGAAACTTAGTTATTTTTCATTAAGAGACATTCTGCTACAGGGTGTGTGTGTGTGTGTGTGTGTGTGTGTGTGTGTGTGTGTGTGTGTGTGTGTGTGTGTGTGTGTGCTAGTACTAAGACTTGAACTCAGGGTCTGGGCACTGTCCCTTAGCTTTTTCACTCAGTACTAGTACTTTACCACTTGAGGCACAGCTCCAATTCTGACTTTCTGGTAGTTACTTAGAGATAAAGAGTGTCACAGACCTTCCTGCCCAGGCTGGTTTTGAATCTTTATCCTCAGATTTCAGCTTCCTGAGCAAGTTAGGTATACAGAGGTGAGTCATCAGGACCTGGCTTGGTCAGTTTTTGATGCACAGAAAAATTAAGCAGGTGGTATAGAGTTCCTGTGTACCTCATAGAAATTTGTTGTTTTGTTTTGTTTTGTTTTGTTTTTTGGGTCCGGTCATGGGGCCTGAACTCTGGGCCTGGGCACTGTCCCTCAGCTCTTCACTTCAAGGCTAGCATTCTACCACTTGAGCCACAGCGCCATTTCCGGCTTTTTTCTTTTTGCTTATGTGGTGCTGAGGATCGAACCCAGGGCCTCATGCATGCAAGGCAAGCGCTCTATCACTGAGCCACCTTCCCAGCCCTAGAAATTTCTTATTACTAATTTCTTAAATTTTTATATAAGAACACACTTGATACATTAATATTAGAATGTTCCATATAGTTATTTAGATTGTCTTAGGTTTTGGTTGTTCTGTTTCTTGAGACAGTTTGGCTATGTAGCCTAGGCAGGCCTCAACTGTGTGGTTCTCCTACCATAGTCTCCTGAGTACTGGGATTACAGGTGTGAAACACCACAACTGGCTTGCCTTAGGGTTTATCTAATGTTTTTTCTGTTCCAGGATCTTATCTAGGATACTACCTTAATTGTCATGTTCCCTTAGCCTTTTTTTTTTTTTGGCTATACAAGTTTTTTGGACTTTGCTAGTCTGAATATTGTGTACAATTTCCTTCTAAGGTTTTTCTCATGATCTGACTGGAATTCTGTTTGAGGAAGAAAGACCAGAAATGTTAGGTGTTATTTTCTTCCTTCTTTTTTTTTTTCATGCTGAGACTGGGACTTGAACTGGGGGCCTCACTTTCTCCCTTAACTTTTTCACTCGAGACTGGCATTCACACTTCCACTTTCTAGCATTTTACTGGTTAATTAGAGATGAGTCTGCTTGGGCTGGCTTTGAACTGCAATCCTCACAGATCTCAGCAGGATTATAGTTATAAACCAACAGCATATGCCATTTTCATCACATATTACCAAATGGCTTCTGATTATTGATTGAACTTGATTACCTGACTGAAATAGTATATCAGGTTTCTCCACTATTCCCCTACCCCACCTCCCCTGTTTCTACGTTGTTTTCTCTGGGATAATTCACTTTGTGGAATGGAAAGTACTATGGTTCAAATGTCCCTGAAAATGGTAGTTGTAAGTAATGGGACATTTAAGAAATCGTTAACTCAAGAAGGAAGAGCCAACCCAAATGGTGTTTAGGACCTTTATAAAGAAAGCTACACAAGCAATGGGCTCATTTGTCCTTCCTCCTTCTACCATGTGAGAACACACAAGTAAAGTGACATAAAACAGAGGGCAACCTTCACCAACTAATAGTACCAGTGCCCTGATCTTTACCTCCATGCCTCTACTACTGTAAGAAATAAGCTTATTCTTTATAAATTCCCCAATCTGTGATATTATGTTGTTTTTTTTTCTTTTGGTGGGTCGTGGGGTTTGAACGCTGGGCTTGGGCGCTGTCCTTGCGCTCTTCAGCTCAAGGCAAGTGCTCTACCACTGAGCCACAGCGCCACTTCCAATTTTCTAGTGGTTTATTGGAGATAAGAGTCTCACGGAATAGGGATACAGGTAGACCCATTGCAACAATGAGATGTACAAGTTATTATGTCGAAAACGAACTTCACAACTTTTGTGGGGGGGGGGGGCCGGGGACGAGGAGGATTGGAGGGGGCGGGGGAGGATGGGAAGGGGTGGGAAGGGGAAACAAAGAAGGAGGCTACAATGCTTGATAAGAAATGTACTCATTATCTTGCCCATATAATTGTAACCCCTCTGTACAGTATTTTCGCAATAATTAAAAAAAAAAAAGAGTCTCATGGACTTTCCTGCCCGGGCTGGCTTTGAACCGCGATCCTCAGATCTCAGCCTCCTGAGTAGCTAGGATTACAGGCCTGAACCACCGGCACCCGGCGGCATTTTTTATATTATGTTATAATCACAGGAGCAGACTGAAGCAGAGTTATGTTCTATTACCTTTATGGTGGAATATTGGAGAGGAAACAATATTTCTTCTACCCTTCTGGTTCTTGACTGGGTCTCTGGAATGAAAGAAAAGGATAAAGTCTATTCAATATTAGTTAAAAAGACCTAAAAAGGGGGCTGGGAATATGGCTTAGTGGTAGAGTGCTTGCCTAGCATGCATGAAGCCCTGGGTTCCATGCCTCAGTGTCACATAAACGGAAAAAGCCAGAAGTGGCTCTGTGGCTCAAGTGGTAGAGTACTAACCTTGAGCAAAAAAGAAGCTTGGGGACAGTGCCCAGGCCTTGACTTCAAGCCTCAGGACTGGAAAAAAAAAATAAAGACCTAAAAAACTAATTGCACCTGAGTGTTTTAATACTAGGCCTGATAAAGAGTGAAGAGTTGTGGGAAAATTAGCAAAGCCTGTTCATTTGACTCCCCCCTGCCTCTCTCCATATCCAGAGTTAAGTATGCTCCTTTCCTCCAGTTTTAAGAATGATACTTCTGACATGACAATCTTGTGACCAGTTCAGGAGAACTGGTATCTTCCTGTATCTGCTGTTTTTCTAATTCTTTCATCTTAAAACATGCAGTTTGCCAGGATAGTGCCATGTCCACCTCACAATGCAAAATGCAGACCTCTAAGAGCTTTGGAAACCTTAACAGAATACCAATACCTACAATTCCAGCCCAACACTAAAGTATGCTTGGTTGCCTTCCCTTTACCCATTTGTTTCTGCCTGATTATTCAGTGGGAACTCATTTCCCAAGAGCAACACTGTAGATACTCATTTGCTAGATTCTTTATTGACTATTCTATGAATTAGTTACAGAATTGTTACACTCACATCATCACAAAAAACAAATCCAGCAGAAACTTACAGTTCAAGCTTTGTTTGCTGTTCTTTACCCTCTTCCCTTTAGAGTTTAAATTCAAAGTGCTGGGTACAAAAATCACAAAGTTCTGTGTACAAAAAATTCATTCTCTTTCTTTGCTCTATCCTACTTAACTGTTTCTATTTCTGAGTTAATTTTTTACTTTCATTGCTCGTGATTTCATTTTATTTGAAATATGTAGAATTACTTTTTCAAGACTTGGAAAAAATTATATTAAGTGAAGTAAGCCAGGCCCAAAGAAACATAGGTCCCATGGTTTC